CTGGGGCCTGGTGTGCTGGGAGGGATATGGCTGTCAAAAGCCCCCAAAGAGGACCTTCCCACCGACAGGCTGGGTTGAAGTCTCAGTGGCCCCATGTGGCCAGGTCGTCATCAAAATGTGGCTTTCTTACCTAAAAGGTCCCCTCTGGAAGCTCCTGGTCTGCAGTGCCAGAGGCCAAAGGAGAGGGGTGCTGGGGCCTGGTTTCCCGGGCTGTGGGTGGGATGCTCCTCGCTCAGCACCCTCGCCACCTGGGCTGAAGCAGCACAGGTCCAGAGGTGGGAAGGAAGGTGCAGACCTCAGCCTCACAGGACATGGGGGCGTGGGAAGACCGAGACCAGGGCCGTCCTGGGGAAGAGCCGGCTGAGCTGGGCACACAGGCCGGCCTCCGAGGCCGGGTGCTGCTCTCAGATGCAAATAGCAGGGATGGATGCTGGCTGGCCCTGGGGTAAGGGCCAGTGACCTCAGCCATCCCTTCTCCTCCACAGAAGAGCACAGGGTACCTCCCAGGACAGTCCGCCTTCACCCTTCGGAGACAATTCACTTCTATTACAAAGTAAAGGTTCTCCATAGAAAGGCCCCCCTGGCCTTTAAGCAACCACTAAAAAACCTTTATTACATCAATATAAAGATATGTCGCTCTGAAAAAGGTTTGTAAATAAAGACAAATGCGTGCACTGAGGCTGCACCAACCCCAAGGCAGGCACACGGCTAACAAGGTTGGCAAATACGGACTTTCACCATGAGATTTCTCCAAAGCCAAAATAAAGAAGGAAATGAAGTATGTCCTCAGAGAAAAGGCTTCCCCCAGGCACGCACACGCACACACATAGACACACACATGTAGACACGCACACACAGATCCTCTCACCTACTTCTGGCTTGTTGAAAACGTCGCGGCGCCCACTTTAGCTGTGAATGGGGCATGCCTGAGAGAGTCCGGGCTCCTACAGAGAAGTGGGGCCTCCTCAGGGACAGATGGGAGCAGGGCTGCTTCGTGTGCATGAGGACAAAACCAGGCTGTGTGCGTGTGCGTATGCCGGGTGACGGCCTCTGTTCATTCCTGGGGAAAGGGGAGAGAAGAGACGCACGAAACGGATCATCGCCGCACAAGCAGGGGGGGCAGGCGGGCAGGCTCGGCCTGGCCTGCAGCGCTCAGTTGATCTGGCGACAGGCCTCGAAGGTCCACTTGGTGGCTCCGCCGTAGATCTCAATGTGGGACTCGGCCCAGGCAATGACGTTGCCGGACAGTGCCTTGGTGCTGCAGGTGGCCAGGTTATATACCTCCCCTGGGGTCAGCTTGCGGTCCCAGATGTTGAAGTGGGCCAGCTCACCCACAAATGCCTGGGTGGCATCAAACCCACCACCCAGAGTGTCCTTCAGAGAAAAACAGAGGATGAGGGTGGAGGGGTGATCTGGGGCCCATCCCTAGGCTGGGGGTCTGAGCGTCTCTGTGCCTTACCCATCATGGACTCTCAGGGCCACTCCCGGGTGCCATTCTGTCTCCCTGTCCCTGACTCTCCAGCCCTCCATCCGTCCCTCCCCTGAGGGAGTCCAAGAAAAGGGATGGTGCCAACCACCTCTGCCCTGGATCTTCTCCTGGGGGCACCTGGGCTCTGCCCCTCCTGCAGCTGGTCCCTTAGCCATGACAACCCTGCCCAGATATCACTCCACACCAGCTGCAGCTGCCCAACAGGAATAGGCACCCCGGATTCTACAGCCCTTCGTCTCCTTCCCAGGTGCCCAACGGGAGACAAACCACTTCACAGGAACTAAATTATTCATCGCTAAAAGCAGAATTGGCCTTCCCATGCCAAAGAAAGTGTTGCTGCAGCTGTGAGAGCACTGAAACCAACGCTCACTCCTGCGGGGAGTTCAAGCACAAGTCCGCCCAGAGCACAGGCTTAGCCCAGCCTGCCCCCAACTGCTGCTCAGGGGAACCACCTCTCTGGCTACCTCCCTCCCTCCTCACTCCCCTTCCCCCTCCCAGCATCTGGCTCTGGAGCTCTCTCCTCTTCCCCACTACATTCAGCACAGTACCTGCTCCTGGCCCAGCACCAGCACGCCCTGGGGCTTGATGGGGTGATAGGGCGCCAAGTTCTCGCCGCTGCCACCCTGCGTGCCATCCTGGTAGGCCTCCCAGACCCCGTCCCGGGTGGTCCAGGTGACGCAGATGTGGTGCCACTTGCCATCGTTGATGACAAATGGCAGCTTGGCCACCTGGGAAGGAAAATGACAGACGCCGGTGGGTATGGGGGTACAACTCAGAATCCAGGAACTTCACGGCCTCAGTTGTTCTATTTCTACTTGCAAAATAAATATCAGGAACTACTATTGAATCCTCACGGCACCTATGCCCCAGACTTCTGCATCTGCCAGCCCCGCCTGGGAGTGGGGCACAGAATCACACAGGAAATGTAGCACTCTACCCAGGGAACCCCCAAGGGCCCTGTGGGTGCACAGTCTCTTCACTCCTACTCACTCTCCTCCCTCTGCGCTAGTCTACACAACAAACCCTTGGCTGGAGGCTGTCCCTGGTGTCTGAGCTCACTGCTGCCTCTCAGGCACCCATGCGACATCTATGCAGCCTCCTCTCTCTTCCAAGGTCCCATCTCCAGCTGTTACACCCTCTCGCTCCACAACACTGCAAGCCTTGGCCGAGGATCTGAGAGATGCCATAGGCCACGATGCCTTTTAAAGCTCAGACCAGCCTCCGACCTGGCATTTCACTCCCCTGCTACCATTCCGGGTGGGGAGGATGACAGACAGTGAGGAAAGAAACCTCACATCCTTTTCTCTTCGGGAAAGGGGGCCCAGAATGGCACAGCCCTTTTGGGGGAAAAGCAACAGGAACAGGGGCTTGGAATCCACCTCCCAGCCCAGGTTTTAGCCACTGACTACCACTGTTGGCCTGGAGTTGAGGCAGTTTGAAAGCTGGCAGCTAGTTCTGCAGCTAACAGGGGAGGAGGGAGAAGGTTCACCAGAGGGAAAGGCTGCCTCTCTTCCAAGGGGTCACACAGACCTGTCCTCCTCCCGAGAGTTAGGGGGCTGAGTGGGATAGACTTGGACTCGGGAAAAATCTCTAAGGCCCCCTTACGACCCTAGAGCATCTCTGGGCCCCCAGTATGGAGCGGCAAAGCCAGTTACCAAGCCAGCTGGTGGAGAAGGAGTTAGATTGCACCATAGGGCTGGACCAGGCCCCACAGCTTATTCTCTGCCATCTCCCACACCCACCCCAAGAGGCATCTGGGAAGGTCCAGCTCTCCCTGCTCTCCCAGTAAAGTGACGGTGCCCCTCTCACTTCCCCTGGTCTCCCCCTCCTCCTCCCTCAGTCCCATCTGGCAAACCCTTTCCTTGGGCCCGGAGCCCGGTCCTAGCATGCAACCTGAGCCAGAGCCCCAGGGTCTCGCCCTGCCATCCCTCAAGCTGGAGGTGCGTTACCTTGTCATTGATGAGGATCTCCATGGGGTTGTTGCCCCATTCGATGAGAACCAGCTCATTGGCCTGGCCAGGTACAGCATAGGAGAATGGCGTGCCCACCCCTGGCGCGGCACTGGACTTGAGCCACATGCAGACAGTGAAGGCGTACATCTCGGGCAGGCTCTTCTTCACCTTGGCGTACATGTAGTTGGTCCGCAGCGGGAAGGTGAGCTGGAACTTGTCTCCAGGGCGGTTGTCTTTCTGCCCTGTGGAGAGTAGGAAACGGCCTGACAGCTGCACCTGCATGAAGTGCTTATGGGTGTCTGAGTGAGTTCTGTCTCCAACAAGCTCTGTGATGCGGCCAAGGCAGGCTCCGGTCTCCACTCTGGAGAGGCCAAGAGGGTGGCTTCCCAGGTCAAGTACTTTGCCCCAAGGCACAGGGCCAGTCCGTAAAGGGCTGACCCGAGCTCTCTATGCTCCGGGTCTGGCTGGCTCTCACTTCCAAGTGCTGGCATCCCTGGGGGTGGGGGGTGGGGAGCAGTGCCTGGTGGGCTGCAGCATGTACAGTGGGCTGCGTGGTGGGCGTGAGTAGGGAATGGGGACAGTGAAGCCAGTACACACCCAGTCAACCCACGGAGCACCGGTGGCCGCAGAGGAGGAATGAGGCTAGCTACCCTGAGAGTAGCCCCCTCTGGGGCTGACCTTATTCCAGGATGGGGCGGGGCTCCCCTCCTCACTCATCCTGGGCTCCGCCTCTGCCTTCCCACCCCCTGCCTCCCCACCCAACAGCCAGGCCCTGGTGCCCACACTCTTCCCTCGATGCTAGATGTGCATCTGACCCACCAGTGCCTCTTGGTGTGTGAGGCTGAGCATTTCCCCATTTCCAAGGCCCTTCCAGGGACTCTGCCTGGAGCCTGCTGAGGGGAGGGCAGCCAGGAGCCGGGATGCCCTCCTGGAACCAGGGCTCCCCAAGGTGACTGCTCTAGGATGCTGCCACGCACTTTTAGTGGGCAAGCATCATCGCAGCTCAGGCTCCAGGCCTAGTGGCCTCCCCTTCCACAAAGCCCATCTTCTCCCCTGCCCCTCTGACAGCCACTTCTCCAGTGAGTGCCAACCCCCACCCCCAGTCCATCTATATACTGTGCAGCACCCTGGGTGTGGTGTGACTGACTCCAGGCAAAACATTCCTGGGCAGGAATGGGCACCAGGACCAGGCTCAGAGCCCAGGAACATCCCCCCCCCCGGCCAACCCCTGGGTGTGCAGCCGTGGTCCTGCCAGGGAGCCCAGAAAGAAACCAGTTCCCCAGGCCAAAAATTATTTCTAGAAGGCATCCTGCCCAGCCAGCAACCACCCCCTCCTCTAAACCAACTGTCAGGGAGCAGAGCAGGGCAGACCCCCTCAGGGCAGCTCCCCTGACCCACGGAGGCCTGGCGGGGGGTGGGGAGGGACCCAGCCCCTGGGCTTTTCATTCCAGGGTGCTTTTCATTCCCCAGTCTCCCCCTCCTTCCCTCTCCCTCTCTCCTGAGGTCCTTCCTTCTCCAGATCTGTTTTTCAGTTACATAACAAGCCTTAAGATGGCACTGTTTAAATCTGTCCGGCACATTTTGCGGTCTGAGCAGGGTCACGTGGCCCTGCTCCGCACCAGGCAACCCCCCCCTCCCCGCTTTTACAACCTTGTTTGATTTCTGCGACTTCAAGGCAGAGCCTCCAGAGCTCATCCAGGCGCCCAGGGTGAGAGCCGGGTTGGCCTGAATGGGTGACTGGGAAGCCTCAGGGATTCGAAAGATGCCAGGGCCTGGGGCACTCAGAAGAGAAAACCTCGGGGTAGGGGTTCAGGGCAGAAGTGGGGAGGAGCTGGGGATCTTGAGAAGACACCAGGGGCATAGAAGCTGGGAGGAAACCCGCTGAACAGCCCCAGCGGCCTGGGGACTCAGAGCACCCAGCCTGCACCCAGCTGTCCTCAGAGGCTGGGGACCAGCTTCCTTAAGCAGGCAGGGTTTGGGCCAGCGGCAGCCACTGTGCAAAGTTACTGAGGATTAAACAAATCAGACTTGAAAAATCCAGCAAGAGTGTGTGAGTGTGACTGGATGGGGGAGGGGGGCACTATGCAATCCCTTCCTCCGTTCTGCTCCCCTTCCCAGACACAGCCCCAGCCCAGAGCACCCAGCCCTGTCAGAAACCCGGACTAGAAACCCAGAACCTGGGCAGGGGTGTGGGGGATGAGAAAGGGCTGCAGGGGTCTGGGTGGGGAGGGTGGCTTGCGCTCGCACAGCTCGGAGCTGGGCTGTTAGGACCCGCGGCACGGTCGGGCAAGCAGGCGGGGGCCAGGCAGTGCGGCTCCCCCGGCCCCAGTACCTTTCTCGAGCTCGCTGATCCGCTGGTGCAGGGAAGTCAGGGCGGTCTCGATCTTGACCCTCTCCTCGGTGTCATTCCGGGGGCCCCCCTTGCCCTCCTCCAGGGTGTTCACCCGGGACAGCACCTGCCTCTCCAGCTCATCGATCTTGCTCTGCAGCAGATCCTTGAGGCTGTTGGTCTGGCTGGAGGAATTGAGGCGGCTGTACTGCTGCGGGGGGCAAAGGCGGGGGGAAACCACACGGTTAGGCGAGGCTCGGGACCGTGGCTGGAAAGCCCGCGGCGCGGTCCCCTCGGGGCGACTGCGGGGGTGGCCGGGTAAGGAGCTGGGGCGAGTGGCTGCCATGGGGCCTCGCAGGCGCGTGGAGGCACCGGTCAGGCACCCGCGCGCAACCGAGGCGGGGTTGGGGGATGCCTGGCCGGGTAGGGAACGAACGGGGTGGGGGAGGGCAGAGGGGCGAGCGAGCCGGAGGGGGAACCGGAGCCGGAGGGCGCGCGCGGACCTCGAGGTTCTCCAGGCGGGTTTTGAGCGATTGCAAAGTTTGCCCGAGTTGGCTGAGCGTCTCGGCGGCCGGTGTCCGGGACAGGTCGCCCATGGTGTTCTTGCCCGAGCCGGGTTGCTTGCGGCCGCCGCCCGCCCGGGCCTCGCCGGCTCCGGGTTCCAGCGTGCTCTGGCTCTCGCAGCGGCCCAGCTTGGCGGTCAGCTCGCGGATGGTCTCCTTCTGGCTCAGGATGGTCTCCTTCTGCTGCAGCACTGTCTCGCGGAGCTGCAGCACGCTGCTCCGGAGCTCCTCGGCGCCGCCGGCGGCCACGGACGCGGCGCACATGTCGGCGTCCACGGGTACCGAGGTGCAGATGAAGCGCGTCGGCCCGAAATCCTGGGCCCCGGCGCCCAGGAGGCAGAGGGCGAGCAGCGCACAGGTGCGCGCGGCGCGGCCGGCTGGCATGGCTGCGGGCACCGGGCGCTCCGGGCCCGGCTCGGCTCGGCTGGGGCTCAGCTCCGGCGGGGACCCGGCTCGGGCTGTGGCTCCGCGAGCGGCCCGCGCTCTGGGCGCCGCGCTCTCCGGCCGAGCGGTCCACACCGCCGCGCTCTCAGGCCCCCACTGCCGCCTGCGCTGCGGAGCCCGCGCCTTTTATGCCGCCGCGGGAGGGGCCTCGCGCCGCCGACGTCAGCGGGGGAGGAATCCCGCTTTAATTGTCTGCGGCCGGGGCCCGCGGCGCGGCGGGGGTCTCAGGAACGCGCCCCCGGGGCCGCCTCCGCTCGCGTCCCCCCCAACCCGCCCAGTCCCTCTGTGCGCTGCCGCGCCCCCCTCTTTCCCCGCTCCCGCCTGGGCGGGCGCTGCCCCAAAGGCCCCAAGAGCCCAGCGGAAGGGGTTCGGGCTGTGGCCCCGGCCTCGAGGATGGACCACCTGCGTGGTGTCCCCACACCTCCGAGGGGGCTCCGGGCGGGTGGGAAACCTCGGCGGGTCCGGGAGGCACAATTAGAGGTTCGGGTCTCCTGGCTGCACCGAACACTATCGGACCGGGGGCATTGGGAGCCGGGCTGGGTCCCCAAGAACCCAGATATTCAACGTCTGCGTGCCGGGTGGTCAGCGCCGCGAAGTTCAGAGCGGGGGTCCCTGGGCCGCCCCGCGTTTATCAGGTTTCTGTGCGCTGTTGAAAGCGGCGGAGCAGCCTGGGTCCGGGGACTTCCCACGGCTCCCGACCCCGGCGCCTGCCCTCCCCCGGCCCTCGGGCTCTGTCTACCCGGCAATGTCCCCGCCCCCGGAACTGTCAGCCCCCACCCCGTACGGCTGGGGCGCCGGGCACTTCTCGGAGGCCGCCCCAGCGGTTCGAGCCTTTCTGGCAGTGGAACCGGCCCGATTCCGGGCAGGCGCTGTCCCCGGAGCGGGACTTTCGCAGAGGCCTCGGGAATGGTCTTCGAAAGGTGGCCCCGGGGGAGCAGCCGCCCGCACCCCAGCAGCTTCCCCTCGCCAGGCGCGACGCGCGTCCGGTGTCCCTGAGCTGTTTCCCGTCCTCCCAGCTGCACCCATTCAGGCCCGAAGGCCAGCGGGAGGGGTCCCAGAGGTGTCTGGGGGCTTCCACCTGAGAAGCTCCGCACGTCGGCGCTCACTCAGACGCCTCACCCGGTACCCGAGCACTCGCGCCTTTTAATTGACCGCGTGGCTTGGCTCCGGGATCCCCGTCCGGGTTCCCACGCCGGGCTGGGGACTCCAGACCCGGGCTGGCACCGCCACCCCGCTCCGCCCCGCAGCCATCACAGAGGTGAAAGCCTTGGAAATCCCTTCGTCCACGCTCCTGCTCTACAGAGAAGGAAACAGGCGCCGAGGCTTCGGTGCCAGGCTAGACCCGTGGGCCCCCGACCCCTCCCGCCTCTCCCGGCCTCTCTGGTCCCTGCGTTCCGCAGCCGTTCCCTGCGCGCAGGGGGGACTGGGGGTAGGGGGCGTATCCAGCCCTCAGGGACCCACAGGCAGCCCCCGGTGCCGAGATCGGGCGTTCGCCCCGCGGGCGGGAGCCAAGACCTGCTGGATGGAGACCTTTTTGAGAAACCGCGGCCTCTTCCCACCCGGTCCCCCGGGCTCCTGCGTTCAGCGTCTTAGCCTTTAAGCCTTCCTGAGCCAGGGCTGCGAGCTGGGGTGTCCTTCGGCCGCCGCTTCCCGGCGCCAGAGGGACCCCGCGGTCCGCACGCGCCTCTCCTCGGCTCCGCGTGGCAGGTGTGGGGTTTCCCGCTCGCCCGCCACAGCGCGCCCAAACCCACGCGGCCGGCGGCCCCTCGCGTGCTCTGCGGACCCCGGGCCGCGAGAGGGATTAGGTTCGCCAGTCCCCACGCGTGGTATGCGCCGAGAGCGCCACGGGCTGGAACCCGCCTCGGGAGGAATTACCCGCGCGGGGGCGCGGCGGCTTCTGCCCCAGCTCCATCGGGAGCCGCTGAGCGGGTGCCCTCCTGGCCCCGCGCTGTGGCCTCGCTGCGTCCAGTGGGAGGCTGTGCCCGTCAGGCCTGTAGCCGGCTGTGCGGAGAGCGCGCGCGGGAGAGGAGCGTGGCCCTCCCCAGGGCAGGCTGTTTGGATCGGGAGGGACCCTGAACCTGGCTCCGCGCCTCGAGTCCCAGCAGCGGCGGAGCCTTCCCGGCAGCCCAAGGCCAGGGACCCGACCTGGCTTTTCCTCCAGGGCTGCAGACCTCAGCGGTCCAGCACCTCGGCGCGAAGAAGCGGGTTTTCCTCCGCAGAGGACCGGAGAGGACGGCGTCAGAAAGGGAGGGGAGCCTGGGCCAGTGTCTGGGGCAGCCTGTGGAGCCCCGGGGGAGGAAACAGCGCTGGACCGGCCAGGACCCTTGGGTCCAGCCTGCGACTGCCGTGCAGGAGGCACTGGGCAGGACACCTGCGGAGGCCGCACACACACGCGAGGGCCACCATGTGGCTTTTCTCTCATGCAAGACCCTGGGCAAGCAGAGGTCCAGCCCTGGTCGTGTTTGGGGTTCCCATGGCCTCCTCAGAGTTCTGCGAGTATCAGAGAGGGAGGGAGCAGGAAAACAAAGGGCTGCCCTGACCAAACTCATCGGGGTGTCTGGCTCCCAGGTCGGAAGATACAGCTGGGGTGAGGGATCTTCCATAGTACCCCCAGCTGAGTACATTTGAGGCTGCCTATGACACGGTGTCACTCGTAGGGAAGCCATGCACACTGGCACGCTATCATTTTATTTTTGAGACAGGGTCTCGCTCTGTTGCCCAGGCTGGTGAGCAGTGGCGCAGTCATAGCTCAGTGCAGCCTCTACCTCTTGGGCTCAAGCGATCTTCCTGCACCACCACACTCAGCTATTTTCTTTTCTTTTTTTTTCCGTAGAGATGGTTGATTTCTTCTCACCTTGATCTTGGGACTACAGGTGTGAACCATGGCTCCTGGCCTAGGACAGTGGTATGTATTATAGCACTCCCACCATACTGGTGCAATAAATGTGAATAAATCCTGAAAGCATAGACAAGGCCGGGCTCGGTGGCTCAGCCTGCAATCCCAGCATGTTGGGAGGCCAAGGCAGGTGGATCACCTGAGGTCAGGAGTTCAAGACCAGCCTGGGCAACAAGGTGAAACCCCCGTCTCTACTAAAAATACAAAAATTAGCCAGGCAAGGTGGTGCAAACCTGTAATCCCAGCTACTCGGGAGTCAGAGGCAGGAGAATCACTTGAACCTGGGAGGCAGAGGTTGCAGTGAGCCGAGATCATGCCACTGCACTCCAGCCTGAACAACAGAGGGACAAGAAGGTGACTCTGTCTCCAAAAATAAAAAAGACAACAGTGGAACAAAATACCTAGAAAGTGATGACTTTGGAGTATTTACTGCCTATTTAAAATATAATTTATTTAATTATACATTTACTTAGTTTAAAATTTAATGCTAAGTACATTTTAGGCACGGTGGCTCATGCCTGTAATCTCAGCACTTTGGAGGCTGAGGCAGGTGGATCTCTTGAGCCCAGGAGTTCAAGACCAGCCTGGACAACATGGCAAAACCTCATCTCTACAAAAATACAAGAATTAGCCAGGCATGGTGGTGTGCACGTGCAGTCCCAACTACTCTGGAGGCTGAGGTGGGAGGATTGCTTGAGCCTGGGAAGTTGATGCTGTGGTGAGCCAAGATTGTGCTACTGCACTCCAGCCTGGGTGACAGAGCAAGAGCCTGTCTCAAAAAAAAGAAAAGAACAGAAAAGAAATATTTAAAAAGAAGGTTAGACAGGTAGGTTGGGCAGTGTCAGGAGGACTTCAGTGCACATCAAGAGTCTACTCGGTGGATGGTGGGAGGTCCTGCAGGGGTGTACTGGAGCCTGGTGGGTGCCTGCGCCCTTGCTCATGCTGCAGCAGCTCCTGGGCCTCTCCTTTTCCAGGCCATGCCTTAAACTCATATGGAACCTCCACCCTGAGCAGGAAAGAGGGTGAGCAATGGATGGGTGCTGGGAGAATGCTGGGAGGGCCTGTGGGCACTGGGAGGTACTGGGCAGAGGTACCCTTCTTTGCCCTCCACTCCAGCATGAGGTTCCACGATGCCTCTGGAGGGGTGAGGTTGGGAGGGGAGAGTGTAGTGGGGTGGGAGAGGCCCTGGTCCCCCACCTGCAGAAGAGGAGCAGGGGCCCTTGTTGATCACAGTCCTGGGACACAGCACCTCAGCCTAAGGTCAGGACATGCCCCTCTGGAGGACAGCTGTGCCACCGGAGATGCATTGCATTGCAGCTGGACTAGGAGGGGGCCAGTCTGCAGTGAGGCGAGTGGCTGGGGTGTTGAGTGTGGGGGCATTCCCTGAGATTTTCAACGTCATTTTCATCTGCGTCTGAATGTTCAGCAGCTCCCAGGGTGCTGACATATTATTTCTCAATCTGGGTGCTGATCCCTCGGGGGTGTTTGTTTTGTGGCCGTTCACTGGGCTATCCAGGAGCCGTCTGTGCACTCTTCTCTGTGGTTCTATGCCTCACACACGGTGCGGGGACAGCATCCACAGGTTGTCCTGGGCAGAGGAGAGGGGCTTCCTGGCGCACCAGGAGAGAAGGCACAGGGGCCTCTGGCAGCTGAGCCCTCAAGAAACAGTCAGGCCATGCGACCCTTCCCCCAAGTGAGGTGCCCCTGGACCCACAGGTGTCGGTGTGGGGCGGCTCTGATGGCAGCCAGCCCCCATGGGACCTCTGAGTCACAGCCTCAGCCCACCTGTGCCTCAGAGTCACTCTTGACAGCCCCACAAACAAACTCTGTGTGATAAGGGACAGGTCCTTGCTCCCCGCTCTGCTGAGGGAGGCGCCCGACCCGAGCCTTCCCCTCTGTCCTCTACATGACACTTCTGCACTGGTAACTGAATGGTATCTTGCAAACAAGCACTTGTCCCCTTTCCAAGTCCTCCCACCACATTCACGCATTCGCCTTTCAAAGGCACAGCTGGGCTCTGGTCCTCGCTCATGGGAGGAAACCCAGGGAAACCCACAAAGCCAAGGTCACGCAGATGCCCAGCAAAGGCAGAGCCAGGGCCAAGCCCAGCCTTCACATGCGTGGCCGCTTTCTCTCTGCCCAGCACAGGAGCTGCAGGAGAAGAGCCCTGGGGGACGGTGCCCCAGCCCACCCATGCCCAGTGGGTGGGGCAGATGTGGCTGCGGACCCCAGGCTCAGGAGCTTCTCACTGGCCATCCTCGGAGGAGAAACCAGCCCTGCCTCACCCCAGGGCTATGCACTCGTGCCCACTGTGCAAAGGCCATGAAGCCTGCAGCAGCTGCAGCCAGGAGCCGACAGGTCATGGGCAGTGCCCCATTCGACTGGGACAGCTGGGCTCCCACCCCAGACTCCCTTCTCCCGCCAAGAGTTTCCCCACAGCAAGGACTGCCTTCCTCCTCTGAGCCAGCCAGGCAGCCACTAGCCCAGTCTGGCTGGGGACAGAGTCCTGGGTGGTCTATTTCCCCGCCCTGTCCTTTTCTTCTCTCAGGCTGAGCCCAGTGCTGGGATTGAGGATAGGGAATGGGCGCTCTTGAACTGCTGATTGGCTGATCCCTATCACCCACCAGAAGCTGCAGGGGAAAGGTGAGCGCTGGGTAAGGCATGTCTTCCTCTTTAAGGGGTTTCTCGGCACCAGGCAGATTCTCGTGCATTTGGCATAGTGTAACCATTCAGAACAGTTGCTCTCAGTTCAAATATTTCCAGAGCATGCATTGAGGGGCAGGCCAGGTGATGGGGCCAGGTTGAGTCAAACACCATTCTCCACCCCAGAGACCACTGGACCTGGCAGGCTAGACACGGATGGGCACACCTCGGGTCCCATGCTTGAGTGAGGGCCACGGGATGGGAGATGGCCCTGAGCCAGCACCAGGCACATGGGCTGGGGTCCAGCCGTCAGAGGGAGGGGGTCTCCTGTGGAGGTGATAACAGGGATCTTGAGGAGTGAGCTGAGGGGTTGGCATGAGCAACGCCAGAGCCATGAGGGGCAGGCCGTGGGGAGAGGGACGGAGTTCCTCTGCCAAGAGTGAACTGCAAAGCAGGGGCCATGGTGGATGTGTGGAATTGTGGGCAAGGTGGGCCAGGACCTTGGGGAGCAGCCACAGTCCTGTAGGGACGCTGTCTGGGAGCCCTCAGTGAGGGCAGAGCTGAGCGGGAGCGGGGCTTGCAGAAGAGGCCTGGAAGATGATGTCATAGGAGCCAGGGAGGAAGGGGGCTGGGCTTGAGAAGCTTGAGGGCATTTGGGAGATTCCTTGGCAGGAGCTTGGTGGTGTCTTGGGTGTGGGAAGTGAAGGAGAGGGAGGAACCTGGGAAGATCCCGGCTCCTGTGCGAGGGGGTGGTGGTGATCCTGCCTGCAGAGAAAGGGTGGGGAGCCCAGGGAGGGGGTGGCTTGGAGGGAGGGGTAGCCCAGAGTTCAGATGGGGACACATGGGAGGTCAGAGCCCAACACTGAGGAGGCTCTCGAGATTGCACAAACAGGAGGCTGGTCCTGAGCTGACCTTAGCAGAAGGGGCCTGGGGCCTGAGGGTGCAGAGGAAGGATGGAAGCGTCTTTAGGGGCAGTGGACTCACAGCCAAGTCAGTCAGGAGCCCCCACAGGGAGACAGTGGGTTCAAAAGCAGAAGGAAGCTGAGAAGAGCACCCTGGGACCCCAATATTCAAGGACCGTTGTTTTAAGATTTCTGACCTCGTGTTCAACAGTGACAAGGGCAGCAGATACCAGTACTCTCAGGAGTCCGTCCAGGACCTTCTGGACTTCAAAATGCTTTCAAGCACTTACCTTCTCTGCATCCCCAACATGGAGCTGGCAAATACAAAGCCAGGTCAGGAATGGCCCCAGGGCCCCCATCCCAGCTCCCCCTAGTATGCATTCATTTGGTTCCTGAGCTAGGACACGCCTTCCAGCTACAGCATCTGGCTGCTGCGACGGGGGCCAGGGGCTTCCAGCCCGCTCTGTCCTTGCACATCAATTTTACCACCTGCCAGACGCCAGGAGAGGGCATATGAAATATAAAATGAGTTGAGGCATAAAAGTGTTTTGGAATAAAAATGATGTGTACTGGCAAGGGATTACAGTTATTACAAGGACCACGCGCTGATGCCATCACTCATACCTGAGAGTGGGAGAGTGTGGTCGCCTGCCGACAGAGGCAGCAGCCAGCGTGCCTACTCCTCTAGGGACAAGGTTGCAGGTGGAGTGAAGCCAGCCCTCGGGGAGTGTCCAGGGAGGGCTCTGGGGGTGGTGGCTCACAATGCAGGGCCGGTGCAGTGGCTCACTCCTGTAATTCTAGCACTTTGGGAGGCCAAGGCAGGCGGATCTCCTGAGGTCACCTGGCCAACATGGTGAACCCTTTCTCTACTAAAAATACAATGATTAGTCAGGTGTGGTGGTGGGTGCCTGTAATCCTGGCTACTCGGGAGGGTGAAGCAGGAAGATTGCTTGACCCTAGTAGGCAGAGGTTGCAGTAAGCCGAGATCGCACCACTACACTCCAGCCTGGGCGTCACAGTGAGAATCTGTCTCAAAAACAAGCAAACAAAAACAGTTAGGCACATGGCAAATACGGAAGCTTTTTGGTTACATTTCCCAAGGTGTCTTCAGGTAGATTACTTCATCAGATGACCTAACACACCCAGCAGGTGGCTTTGGCAGGCAGCATTCTTATGTTTGATTCTGCCCGTTCTGCAGAGGAGGCAAACAGGGATCCTCCATCACGTCCATCCCTCTCCACCACACCCACGGTGAGAGAGCAGCAGGGAGCTCCCGCCTGGTCCCTGCCCTCCCTGCCAATATTCCATGCTCATGGGTCCCAGTGCTGGGCCCACAGCTGCCCAATGTGTCCCAATAACACGGTGCCTTTGACTTCAGAGGGCAAGGGGCAGCCACAGAAGGTTTTGGGACAGGAGCTATCATGGCTTCTGGATCAAGACTGGATGCACTGTTGGGCCGTAGCAGGCAGGAGACTCCTTAGGAGGCTGTCCCAGTGACCTGGTACAGAACAACAGTGGGGGTGGGCAGTACACTCCCAATTGTGCCATATGCGGCTTTAGCTTCTCAATCCTTGTGAACTACAAGGCTGGTCATGGTTAGTGCCGGGCCTCTGTGGCTGCTCAGGGTGATTTCTCATGGATCCTGCAACCCTGTCTCCCCTTCACAAGCCTCTGGCCCCCGGTGTCTGTGTCCTTACGCCTTAGGTCAGTCTGAGACATTCCTGTCACTTGTGCTCCATGGCCTTTTTCCAGCCCTGGCTGGCATCTCCTGGTGTAGGAGGGAGAGAGGCTGGGAAGAGAGCAGCTCAGCCCACAGGAGGTACCCATGGAGGCCGGCAGGAGCCTGGGCCCCCCTGCACCATCCCCAGTCCTCAAACCCTAGACCAGGGTCTCACCCTCCAGAGTCTTGATTTCTCCACCTGTGAAGGAGCCACTTTTCCCACCTACCAGGAACTGAAGTCAAAGGCACAGAGTTATTGGGACACATTAGGGAGCTGTGGGCCCAGCGCTGGGTGTCACAAGAGCATGGAATATCGGCAGGGAGGGCGGGGGCCAGGCGGGAGCTCCCTCTGCTCTTCGGACGCCCCTCCTGTAGCTCTTCCCACCAACCCACTCCCCAGTTTGCTCTGCTTTTCGTGGCCAGTCACCCAGGGGTCGCATCCAGGGAGGCTCCTGCGGGCCCAGCTTCACTGGCCTTGGAGGGCTAAACTGCCTGGCCCAGGGGCGTGCCACTGTGTCCTGGGCAGGCTACAGGCACCCTGCGGGACTGGAGCCTGGGGTAACTCAGCAGGACAGAGGCCGGGCCACCAGAAAGCTCCCCAGCTGATGGCCAAGCTCAGGGCATCTTGCACCCCTGTACCTGAGGACGGCCTCCAGCCAAGGAGAGTGAAGTCATCCTCCAAGGGGAGGCACTCAGCCCTGCGGAAGCCCCTTTGAATGGGGGAGGCCTTGGGAAGCTGGGTGAGGGGTCAGAAGCCGGGAGCTCTGGATTTCAGGACTTGGAAAAAATGTGCTGCTTTTTTTTTTTTTTTTTTTTTTTTTGAGACGGAGTTTCGCTCTTGTTACCCAGGCTGGAGTGCAATGGCGCGATCTTGGCTTACCGCAACCTTCGCCTCCTGGGTTCAAGCAATTCTCCCGCAGTATCTGCTTATAGGACCCAGTGCTCCCGGTGAGACCTCTCCATTCCCTCTCCCTCCCTCCCTTTCTGCCTCACACCCTCTCTCTCTTCCTGTCCTTCTATATCTGAGTCGTGTTTGGTCTGTGATGTCACCGCCCCCCTCCCTGTGGCTGCCATTCAGAGCTGGCAATAATGAATAGCGCCGGATTCCCACTCACTGGGCTCCAGCAGCACTACAGAGACACCAAGCCCTTTGTTGCAAATAATTAATTTGGTCCCATGTTTCGTAACATCCTAAAAAGCTTTCCGGGGCGAGCACCTGCCAGACACCGTGATCTCATCAATACTGCATCGCATCGGACACAATTGCTGTGTGCTTTCATTAAAAATTTAATTTGTGGTTTAAATCTGCAGTGTTCCCTTTAAAAGGATGTCGGGGGCTGGGATGAAAAGGGAGGGACAGGCTTGGGTCTGGGGGTGGGCATTCTGGAGTAGAGGAAATCCCAAGCCCCTGGGGAGGTGGGGGCGGGGCTTCCCACTGGAGCAGCTGCCCCTCTCCGATTGGCTGTGCTTGGTCTGTGGCCTCTCCTGGTGCTGGAGGGAGGCTGATGGACCATTGATGGAAAATGCTTTTCTGAGGCTTAATGGTTTTCCCTTCTTTCTCAGCCACCTCGGGCAGATGGCTGCTCCTGGGAACCCAGACACGGGAGGAAGGCCAGGTGATGGTGCAGGAAATGTGGTCTGGAGACCCATCCTCTGTTCCCTCCAGACCCAATGCCCACGGTAGTAAAGACCAGAGCTGCAGCCCCACTCCTGCCTTCCTGGCTGTGCGGCCTCAGGCAAGCTGCTTGTCCTCTCCGAGTGCAGGAGAGTGAGTGGGGACCTTGTGTATCCCCAGTGCCAGGTCAGCATCCCCAGCATCACCCTCACCGCTGTGTGGCTGCAGGGCAGGCAGCCCTTGCTGACTGGGTAGCAGACCCTCCGGAAAGGCCGAGGTTCTATTTTCTATCTTTGTCTTGACCTCACTCTCTTCCAGAGAGGATTTAAGCTGGCCTTTGTAATCGGTGCCGCCTGCAAACCCGGCCCTGGGATTTATTTCGCTGCGAATGGGGGTCTTATTGTTTCCATTGTGTGTGGTGGTGGGGCATTGGTTTCTCTCCTGCTTCCAGTGAGCAGGGAGGGGACAAGAGAGCTCAGGTTCTGGTCAGGGAAGGAGAGAGAGGAAGGTGAGGGGAGCAAGAAAGAGGAGGAGACTCCGGGGCGACTTCACGGTGACACCTGCCTGGCTCTGCCCCAGGACTCTTTGTTCCCGCCCACCCTGGCAAGGCCAGTTGTTTCCCTGCGGAAGGCAGGGATTTGTACATCTCCGGCTATCTTCTGACAGTGTGCCAGAGTGATTAAGCTAAGCCTCCTGGGGCCAGCAGGAGAGAGGGGACAAATTGCTTTGTGAAATTGATTTGCTGCTGTTAGCATTTACAGCTTGCCCTGGGTGCGCCCACAGTGTGAGGAGGCTGTGTGGGCGTTCTGCCCCCCTTCTCTCCTCCACTGCACCCGGGCTCTCACTTGGCACCTGCACACACATCACCTGCCGCATGGCACATAGCCAGGCCTCAGGACATGGACCTTGGTACAGCTCACCTCAGGGCACAGGTCCAAAGCGTCCCAAATGCCCATGGGGGCAGATGGCCACCCATGGCTGTGGCCTGCAGAGATAACTGCCCCAACTCTCTTGGCTGGTCGGTTTCCCCAAGCCAGCGTGAGAGCAGGACCCAGGAGAGCTGAGAGGGCACCTGGAGGCCCAGAGAGAAGGTGCAAGGTAGCCTTGGGCCGGGGTCTCCCCAACTCTTTTTTTTTTTTTTTGAGACAAAGTTCCAGTTGTGGCCCAGGCTGGAATGCAGTGGTGTGATCTCATCTCACTGCAACCTCGGCCTACCAGGTTCAAGTAATTCTTCTGCCTCAGCCTCCTGGCTGGGATTACAGGTGCGGGCCACCATGCCCAGCTAATTTTTGTATTTTTAGTAGAGACTAAACATGGTTTCACCATGTTGGCCAGGCTGGTCTCGAACTCCTGATCTCAAGTGATCCACCCGCCTCAACCTCCCAAAGTGCTGGGATTACAGTCATGAGCCACTGTGCTTGGCCTCTCCTAGCCTCTTGGGAACCCCTTTTGCCACACAAGCTGCATGATCTTGGCTCACTGCAACCTCCACCTCCCAGGTTCAAGCGATTCTCCTGCCTCAGTCTCCTGAGTAGCTGGGATTACAGGTGCACGCCAACACGCCAGGCTAATTTTTGTATTTTTAGTAGAGACAGGGTTTCACTATGTTGGTCAGGCTGGGCCCGAACTCCTGACCTCGTGATCCTCCCACCTTGGCCTCCCAAAGTCTTGGGATAACAGGCATGAGCCACCAAAAGGCACCCAACCATTAAGTTGGGAGCCTTTAAGAACTCCCCATCCCCAGTTGCTCTTTCATTTCCCTCTGGCATTGTGGCTGGATCCCTCAGTGACAAAGTGGAAGGAGGCCTCCTGCTGACCCACGATGAACCTACTGTGGGAAAGAACCAGAAAGAACACCTGCCACCTGAGGCAGGTGGTACCTTGGGGCTGTGAGTTATGGCCGCCAAACCTATGGCTGCCTGGGTCCCACCCACCTGCAGGATACGGTGTCCTCAGGGGCGCATTGACTGCCTTCATGTCTCAGAGCATGGGGAAGTCCTGCCCAAACTCGATTCTCCTGGAGTCCGTTTTGTCTTTGAGGCAACTACTACCTTCCCATCAACCCCCTCTTCTGCTTCAGTTAACCACAGGTAGGTTTCGCTCTTTGCAACTGCAGCCTGGGCTGGTGGAGGAAGCTCTTTCAGCTGTTATCAAGCAGCACCTCGGGAAGGTGAGCCGGCTGCAGCCAGAGGCCTCTGGAGCAAAGGCAGGTCACTGGAGAAAGAGGTCGGGGGTGGGTTGTCTAGAAACAGAGTGTGGTTGTGTGTCTGTGCATGTAGAAAGAGGAAACGGATGTGTGTGTGTGTGTGTGTAAAAAGAGGATGTGGGGGCCAGGCGTGGTGGCTCATGCCTGTAATCCTAGTGTTGTAATTGGGAGGCTGAGGTGGATGGATTGCTTGAGACCAGGAGTTCAAGACCAGCCTAAGCAACATATCAAGAGTCTGTCTCTACAAGAAAAAATAAAAAATTAGCTGGGCCTGGTGGTGCATGCCCATAGTCCCAGCTACTCAGGAGACTGAGGCAGGAGAATCGCTTGAGCCCAGGAGGTCGAAGCTGCAGTGAGCTCCAAACATACCACTGCACTGGGCAACAGAGTCAAACCCTGTCTCAAGAAAACAGAGGGCCTGGTTTTTTGTGAGTGTGTGTGTGAGCGTGTAGGAAGAGGATGTGATCATATGAGTGTACCTCTGTGTTTGTGTATAGGGGGTGTGTGTGTAGGGGTGTGAGAGTGTGTGTAGGAAGAGGATGTGGTTGAGTGTGCCTGTGTGTGTTGTGTGTGTGTGTGTAGGGGTGTGAGAGTGTGTGTAGGAAGAGGATGTGGTCATGTGAGTGTGACTGTGTTGTGTGTACATGAGAGTGTGTGTGGGGGTGTGAGAATGTGTGTGTAGAAAGAGGATGTGGTCATGTGAGTGTGCTTGTGTGTTTTGTGTGTAGATGTCAGTGTGTGTGTGTGTGTGTGTAGGGGGTATGAGAGTGTGTGTAGGAAGAGGATGTAGTCATGTGAGTGTGCCTGTGTGTGTTGTATGTACATGTGAGTGTGTGTGTGTAGATGTGAGTGTGTGTGTGTAGGAAGAGTATGTGGTCATGTGAGTGTGCTTGTGTGTTTTGTGTGTAGATGTCAGTGTGTGTGTGTGTGTGTGTAGGGGTATGAGAGTGTGTGTAGGAAGAGGATGTAGTCATGTGAGTGTGCCTGTGTGTGTTGTATGTACATGTGAGTGTGTGTGTGTAGATGTGTGTGTGTATAGGAAGAGTATGTGGTCATGTGAGTGTGCCTGTGTGTGTGTAGGAAGTGTGAGTGTGTGCGTGTTGGAAGAGGATGTGGTCATGTGAGTGTGCCTGTGTGTTGAGTGTACATGTGTGTGTAGACGTGAGTGTGTGTGTAGGAAGAGGATGTGGTCATGTGGGTGTGCCTGTGTGTGTTGTTTGTACATGTGAGTGTGTGTGTGTAGGAGATGTGAGTGTATGTGTGTAGGAAGAGAATGTGGTCATGTGAGTGTGCCTGTGTATGTTGTGTGTACATGTGTGTGTGTGTGTAGGAGGTGTGAGTGTGTGGGTGTAGGAAGAGAATATGGTCATGTGAGTGTGCCTGTGTGTGTTGTGTGTACATGTGTGTGTGTAGCAGGTATGAGAGTGTGTAGGAAGAGGATGTGGTCATGTGAGTGTGCCTGTGTGTGTTGTATGTAGATGTATGTGTGTGTGTGTAGGGGGTGTGAGACTGTAGGAAGCAGATGTGGCCATGTGAGTGTGCCTGTGTGTGTTGTGTGTACATGTGTGTGTGTAGGGGGTGTGAGAATGTGTAGGAAGCGGATGTGGCCATGTGAGTGTGCCTGTGTGTGTTGTGTGTACCTGTGTGTAGGGGGTGTGAGAATGTGTGTAGGAAGAGGATGTGGTAGTGTGAGTGTGCCTGTGTATGTTGTATGTAGATGTGAGAGTATGTGTGTGTGTGCGTAGGGGGTGTGAGACTGTGTAGGAAGCAGGTGTGGCCATGTGAGTGTGCCTGTGTGTGTTGTGTGTACATGTGTATGTGTGTAGGGGGTGTGAGACTGTGTAGGAAGCAGGTGTGGTCATGTGAGTGTGCCTGTGTGTGTTGTGTGTACATGTGAGTGTGTGTATAGGGGATGTGAGAGTGTGTAGGAAGCGGATGTGGTCATGTGAGTGTGCCTGTGTGTGTTGTGTGTACATGTGAGTGTGTGCTGGGGTGACATCACAGGAACTCACCTGCTGTAAGGCTGGGCCACGTCATGGCTTGGTGTCAGTTCCCCCGCCGCACCTGGGTTTGGATCCCGGCTGCTCCTGCTGCCTGCTGTGGGTCCTGGTACACATTATCCTCTGAACACCACTGGCCGCATCTGAAATATTGCAAGGAGCTATAAGAGAGGAATTATGCAAAGCATGGCCGTGTCACAGTTACAGATTTCCCGTCCACCATGGTGGTGTGGACACAGGTCGGCTGTGGTGTGCACGGGGTTGGGCTTCATCTTCTTGTCCCTCTCTGCTCCCTGCTTCTCCCCTCACCAAGGGAGCCCAGACTGCCCTCCTGGCCACACTTTGGGAGGCCGTCCTTGTCCTCGAAGCAGGGCCCTAGCGATGGCTTTTCAGCTCCAGGATTTCTGTGGTCGGGATCCAGCATCTCTCTATTGTTTTTAAAGTATTTTGCTGTTGGGAAGCCTCAAGCCTCTCCGCAGAAGG